TCAGCACCTACCATAGCACCCCTGATAGCACAAAAATCTTCAATACAGCTAGTACTTTTCATATCACCAACATTCTTCATAGCACCAATATTCTCCACAGAACCAGTTACTTCAACAAGACCAGTACCATAAAACTAGTACACATAACACTACCACCTTCCAAAGTACTACCACCTTACATATAGCACCAATATCCTCCATGGCACTAACATTCTTAATAACACCAAAATTTCTCATGGCACTAGCACACTGTTCCACTAAATTCTTTCTTGGCACTAACACCTTCTAAATCATCAGTATCTTTGACAATGACAACATCACCCATACTACTAACATCTCCATAGCATCAGCATCTTCCATAGCAGGAGTACTTTTCACAGCACTAGCACCTTTCTATAGCATAGCACCAGTACCTTCTATATGAACAGTGCCGTTTACAGCACCAAAATCCTACATAGTACCAGCATCTTCTATAACACCAATACCTGCCAAATCACCATCATTCTCCATGGAACTAACATCTCCATAGCACCACCACCTTCCATATCACCACTTTCCATAGTACCAGAACCTTTCACAGAATCATTACCTCCACAAGACCACCACTTATCATAGTACTAGCATAGCACTTCGCATAGCACCATGCTTCCCACTGTACAAACATTGTCCATTACACCAGCACTCTCTGTAGCAAAGTCAAATTTAGAAGACTGCCCAGTTTCCAGGCTACAGAAAAAAGAGTAAATTTCCTCTCTATACCCTCCCATTTACTCAAATTATCTTGCTGAAAATAGTGCACATATATAGCCTTTTATAATGACTGCAATAATTTCTTTGGCTTTAGAAATGATAAAATGGGCTCAGTGGGAGATGGCTCACTGGGGAGATGGCTCAGTGGAATAAGAGCTTCCCTGGCAAGCGCAAGGGCCTGAGTTCAATCCCTAGTTCCGCCAAAAAAAAAAAAAAAAGAAAAGAAATGATAAAACATCCCAGGTAATTCCTTCAGCCAATCTTTCTCAATTCATCTCACTTCACTCTACTCTCATTTTCCTTTCTCTCTCACAACATAATTAATATAAACTGCTCTTTTCATCAGTCTTCAAATCTGAAGTCATAAACTGCCTGAAATCAGAATTTTGAAACTTGAAATCACTCAATAAAGTGATGACAGTCACCAATGACAGGGATGCAATTTTATTATCCTTAAAGTTACCTTTGCCCTAGGCAATATCCCAAGGACAGACTGAGCAACTCTTTGTCAGCACAGAGCTGTCCAAAGCCGACAATAAATTCTGACTTTCAGTCATCTTCCAGCTTAAATATCCATCCTTAGCTGAAGACCTATGCATCACATCTAAGTGTGGCAAGACCCCACCCACAGCTTCTTGTCACCTCACACTCACTGCATCTCTCCCAGGGAGACAAGCAACATACCAAGGAGTCCCCCAGGCTCACTTTATCTGGTAGAAACAAGATTAGTGAATTTTAACTGCACACTGCTCTCCTTGGGTCCCTGAGCCCCAGTGAGCTGACTCAGCTTAGACCCCGGACTTCTTAATTACCATCACAGCCTCTTCCTCCTTCTCCTCTTCCCACATCCACCCTCAAGCCAGCTGATGTGTCCTCCACAGGGACCAGAGAGAGTGCTCTTGAATAAGGCAGAAAAACCAAGCTAATTAAAGCTGGAAGCTCTAAATAAGCAAACAAGAATTTGCTTCATTCCTTTTTCAAATTTGCAGGGCTGTCCTCCACCTATGCCTGACAATGCTAACAAAGGACTGCTTTAAAACCACAAATCCTTTCCTTAAAGACCTCCAGGATTAATTGGAACAAACTGCATAGGGAACTTCAACAGGCCCTGCACCCTAACCATACCAAGCCTTCTTTCATAGCTGACTTATTTCTGTCCTGATTGGTAGTTACTACTGCAGGCAGCATGGCTGAAAGCAAAGCCCAGTCAGGCTTCACTCTGAACATTAGCTCTGCTAGTGGGTATCTAGATGAGCAGATTATGTCACCCCTCTCAGCCATCATCCCCACTTGAAACATATAGTGTTAGAGTAGGTTCTCCTCATCCATGGGGGTAGGGGGAAGAGAGGGACAAACCCCCACTACAGTGGCGGCAAAGCTGTGGCATATGTGTAACAACTGGCCGTTTATTTCATTAAAAGCTCTAAAGGGTTCACCATTATGGATGCAGTGGATGCCTGAAACCTCAGATAATACTAAACCCTATATATGTTATGCTTTTTCTTATAATGTGTACACATACTGTGTTAAA